CATTGTTGCCAATGAAGGAATGAATGGCACTAGACACTATTTATACAGCGAGGCAACCTTAGAGGGAAAAGAAGATCGCTTTTCTTGTTTGCCACCACAACACTTGCCCAACTTGGAAGAAATAATAAGCAATTGGTTATTTCTAAATGATAAAACATTAATAGAAAAAATTGTTTTCAAGTATCCTGAATCCCTCGCTAGTAAGGTAGAAAAGATTATTATTCAACAACCGCCAATTAACTACTCAACAACTGAGAGTATTGGAAGAGAAGAAAATGATTTAATATATGCTTACACTCAACGCGCTAACAGACTGTTTGGAGAAAAATGACCAGAGTTCGCACAGAAGAGAATAGCAAAAGAATGAGAAATTATTAAAGGGAGATATGTTTTCATTTATTGGCTAGCTTACAAGATAGTACAGAAAACTCATCAGGACGGTTTTCTAGTTGGTTCGCGAGGCTCGATCGGCTCTTCTTTTATTGCCTATCTTTGTAACATTACGGACTTAAATCCTCTGCCTTTTTATAAATATTGTCGACAATGCCGTTATGTTGAAATTTACGAAGCAAAAGTCAGAAATTATTCCTGTTATGATTATCAAGAACTAGAAAATTGTCCAAGATGTTTTTCCCAGTTAGTCATGGAAGGACATAATTTGCCTTTTGAGACTTTCTTCGGCTGAGAGGGAGAAAAAACCCCAGACATTGATCTTAATTTCTCAGGTGAATACCAAAAAGAATCTCATAATTATGTTCGTCAATTGTTAGGAAAAGATTCAGTTTATAGAATTGGCACAATTAACACTTTGTCTGAGCAAACTGCTGAAATTTTTTATAGAGAACACCTAAGACTACGAAAAGAACTCAATTCCTCTCAACATCTCCAAAAATTTTTCAATTCCGAAGCAGTTGCTCAATGACAGAAAGAATACTGAGAAAAACTCTTAACTAGTCAGAGAGATTTCGAAGAAGAAGATTGATATAGAGAATGAATAGAACAAGAAAAGATCAAAGAATTGCAAAAGCAGTTAGTTAAGGCTCGAAAAGAAAAATTCTTTTTAGAAACGGAGTTAAAAAAGTTAGAAAATAGCCAAGAAGAATAATCATATAATAGAACAAAAATTGCTTACAATTTCATATTTTCACATTGTGTTTAACAATATTAACTAAGTTTTCTCAATAAATTCCTTAATAATTTACTCAACTTCCACTTCTTCTAGAAATAACAACGTAAAGAGATTGGCTATTTTCTTTGTAAAACTATTCTATATAAGGTTTAATACTTATATTGTATAGTAAAGAGGTAAAGAGATTTTGTCCTTCTCGCCATTGTTGTAGTGGTAAATCGGCTAATAATGGAAAAAGTTCAGTTTGTATTGCTGACGAAATAAGTAAAAATAATGAAAAGTTAGACAATTTGGCGCGTTATAGAAATAGTTCAGAAATAGAGAGGGAAAAAGTGAAAATTAGGCAGTACATTCAAGAAGCGCAAGCAGAGCAGTCTTTAAATAGTGAGCCATTAATTATGCAAATGATAGCCAACAGCGATTGAAAAAAATAAAGAATGGATGGTAAAGTTGCGAATTATGTTTATGGTTGAATTTGAGCCTACGTAGGTTTCTTTTTTTTTCTTTGTTTTGTAGTTTTTTTCTTTGGTTATAGTTTTTATAGATGATATTGAAAAATTTTCTCTTATAGCGTTTTTTTAAAGTGGGTGTTGGGAATATTTTTATTTTTCTCACTTATTAGTTTTGTTTTTTCTTTTTATCACTTTCTGTGATATAAATAAAATTAAATAATTAATAGCCCAAGTCTAAAATCTCTTTTGGTTTGGCATTATCTAAGAAACGAACACATTATCAAAATCCTTAAAACAAGTTAAAAAATAATAAACGAAGTAAACAACAAATTAGGAGAAATAGATAATTGAAGAACCCGAGAATTAGAAGCACGGATAGAACTATATCCTAAGTCCAATTGGTAGATGATGTAGTGTAGTGTAGTGTAAATTTAGCGTTTAGAAATGTGTGGAATTAATGAAATTATTAGTAATTTTTTACTAGGAAATATTTATTTAAGCCTTTTTTGCTCTTTCATATTTATCTTGTTTCTTTTTCCTATGAGTAAGAATAATTGAAAGAAAATTTCTTAAAATTAGGAAAATAGAATTATACTCATTTTAAACTCAAAAGCAATGAGAGAAACAGTAGATAAAATTAAAGAAAAAATTAACCAAAAAGAAGCGGAAATAAAAGAGTTGTGAGAAAAAATAAAGGCAGCGAAGGAAAATCCAAAAGAAGAAATTAATAAAGAGTTAAGGGGTATTAAACGTACCACTGGACAACATCCTGGCGGATTGTTAATTACTTTGCCCAACACTGACATTCAAAAATATACCCCTCTAAATTATCCTGCCGACAATCGCCAAGCAGAATGAGTAACTACCCACTTCGAATACAGTTTTTTGTCAGAAATGTTTCTTAAAGTTGACATGTTAGGACATGATGAGCCAACTATTCTGCAAAAATTGTTCCAATTAACCGGAGTTGATCCAGAGAAAATTTCTTTTCGAGATGAAAAAGTAATGAAGTTATTTACAGAAGCTAACACTTTAGGAATTCCAGAATTTGGCACTGATTTTGTCAAAAGAAATTTATTAACTCCCCTAAAGCCGACTAAGTTTTCTCAATTGGTGCAAATTTCAGGCTTTTCCCACGGAACTAATGTCTGAACCCAAAACCAGCACACTATCTATAAGAACAAAGAATTGCCTTTAAACGATTTAATCGCATGTCGGGAGGACATTTGAAATTTCTTAGTCTCCTGAGGAGTGGACAACAAAAATGCCTTTATTGCCACCGAATTTATTCGAAAAGGGAAATGGGATAAGTTGCCTGAAAGCATCAAAGAAGAAATGAAGAGTAAACTCAAAGACAAAGAAGGAGAATTATACTTTTCTATCCTTAGTAAAATCAAATACATTTTTCCCAAACCACATGCAATAGCCTACACCATGACAGCATGGAGAACCGCTTTTTACAAATTGTATTACCCACAAGCTTTTTTTTCAGTTCTTTTAACCTATCACGCAACAATTTATGATATTTGGCTGATGACCTTGGATAAAAATGCTATTAACTTTCGTTTAACAAACCTTTTGAGTAACTCAAATTCTAGTTATAAAAGTAATGAAAAAGAATTGCTTTCGATCATCAAAGTTTTGGAAGAACTAAATAAAGAAAAAAAGAGAACTCAGAGGACAACCGAAGTAGGAAACACTTTGCAAGAAATTCTAAGAAAAATAGATATCGAGGAAATTTTAGAAAATATTCAGAAAGAGATAAACAATTCTGCCGATAAAGAAAGATTAAAAAACTCTTTAAAAAAAAACGGGAAAATTTGAAAAATGACTGCGAAAGAGAAAGGTTTGTTGTTTACTTTAAGAGTAGTTTTAGAAATGGAAGCGAAAGGATTAGGTTTTGCTCGCGGAGTAGATTTTAACAAATCTGAAATAAAAGATTTCAAAATAGAAAACAACACTATTTATTTTCCTTTCACAGCTGTTAGCGGAATTGGAGAAAAAATAGCTGAAAAAATAATCTCCTATCGTCAGGAAAAGGGAAAAATTATCCATTGAAAAGAAGACTTATTATCCCTGCTAAATATCAATCACATTCAGCAACTAGAAAATTTAGAAAAATATAACTTAATCATTAACTTATAATCTTATATATGAATGACTATACCCCCTTGCAAAAAAAAGGCCAAGAACCAGAATATAAAATTAATCCCCCTTTGAAAATTTCCTCAGTTGGAACAGAAATTAAAAAAAATAGTATTCAAATGCCTGATGGCTCTGCACTTTTAACAAACACCGGAAACAATTCAAGTCTTAAAAATCAGGGAATTAATTACATTATTCATACTGTTCCTAGACATAGAGACAGTTCTGCTAGCGACGAAGAATTTGTTGAGATAGCGGTCAAAGCGGTTCAAAACTCAATTATTTTGGCCGACCGAGAAAAAATCAATAAACTGGCAATCTGCTTTGTAGCAGGAAAAATTTACCGAGGAACCTGCAATCCAGAAAAATTAGCCGAAGGAATAGTTTGCGGTGCGATCAATCAATTACAAAAAGTTAATAACTTGAAAACAATTTCTCTCATTGACTGAGAAGGCGATTCTAGGCATTATTTGTTGGAAAAAACGGTAGAGTTGTGAAAATCTGGTAATGGCAAAATAAATGTTCTTTCATGAGATGGAGACGAAACTATTTTTGATGCTCTAGTTTTTAATCCAAAAGGAAATCGAAACATTATCGTAAAGGCGGGTGATATTTGTGATAAGAGCACTCACGGAGCCGAAGCGATTGTTAATTCTGAAAATGCTGGAATGAATTGAGGTGGTGGCATTTCCGGAGCAATTCAAAAAGCACTAGGATCCGAAGCCAACCATGTTGACCAGCAACGAAAAGACTCGATGAAAAAATTTAACGAGATAATAAATGATGATAATGATAACAAAACTCCTGCCGAATGACAAGAAGAGTTAAAAAAAGTTGATAGTGACTTAGAACAAGTTTTTAACGAAGACAAAGTAAACCAATTTAAATCAGAAGGTAAATTTGGTAGAGTAGAAGAGGTAAAAAAGTTGCTCAATAGTGTAAGAAATGACTCTCAATTTTTGAACTTAATTAAAACTGAACAAAGTAGCAATAGTATAGCGCAATTTGTTTCTAACAAAACTGCTTCTGAAACAATAACAATTATTAAAAGATTTGAATTTGATAATTTAAGTCAACTTGATAAGGAAATAAAAATAAAAAAAATTAGAGAATATTACAAATTGGGGGAAAATGGTAATTTAACTGATGATCAAATTAGCGAGTATTGTTATAGAGTAGCCGTTGGACAAATAAAAGAGGATGAACAAGATCAAAATACTATAGATCCTAAACATAACATTTTGAAATACTTAGGCATTGGTGCTTTAATTTTAATACCATTTGGTCTGCTTCTTGGTTTTTTTATCAGAAAAAGAAAAAAATACTAATAGACACATCAAAAAAATCTTTTTAAAAGTTGATTTTAGAACCAAACCTTTGCAAAATTATTGAATTGCCCATCTTTTAAAATAGGATATATTATGAAAATCCTGGCAATTGGCGACATATTTGGCAAAACTGGACGACAAGTCATTAGAGATTATCTTCCTAAACTAAAAAAAGAGTACGAGATAGATTTGACTATTGCTAATGTCGAAAATACTACTCACGGTAAAGGAATTTCTCGTAAGCATTATTACGAATTAAAAGATTATGGAATCGATATTATGACTTCCGGAAATCATATTTTTGCTCTTGAAGAAACCAAAAAATACATAAATGAGACTTCCGACTTGCTTCGTCCGCTTAATTCTAATCCTTATCATCCCGGCTCTGGAACTACACTAGTAAACATTAAGGGGAAGAAAATTCGCATTACTAATTTGCTAGGAACTAATTTCATGCCAATCTCTGTAGAAAATCCTTATTTTGTTTTAGAAAAATTACTTAAAAATAAGGACTGTGATTTCCATTTAGTCGATTTTCATGCAGAAACTACTGCTGAAAAAATTGCTCTAGCCTGATACTATGACGGAAACATTAGTGCTTTGTGAGGAACCCATACCCACGTCCAAACCGCTGATGAGCGAATTCTCCCTAAAGGAACCGGTTTCATCACCGACTTAGGCATGACTGGTCCTTATTGAGGCATTATTGGAGCCAAGCCAGAGATAATCATCCAACGCGCCAAGTACGGCTTACCAGCCAAGATGGCTCCTTGCGAAGACAAGGGACAATTAAATGGAGTTATATTTGAATTTAATGATAATAATAATAAGTTGATAAGTATTCAAAGAATCAGAGAAATTTTTTAATCTGGTCTAGGCTCACCTAATTTTTTTTATAATTACAATAGAGATAAGCCATTAAAATAGAAATATATGCAAGTAAATATTTTTTGATTAATCTTTATTATTATCTTTAGTATGTTTGTTGGTTTCCTTCTATGCTCTTTATACATTACAGCCATGCTCAAAAAAACCCTGGGAATTAAAAGTTGAAAGGAATTTCTTAACCAATTTAAAAAACAGCAAGAATTATCAAAAAAGATGAACGGAAAGGGATTGAAAGAAATGTTAAACGACCCTGAATTTAAGAAAAAGGTCGAACAATTCCAAAAAAAATTTAAGTAGTTAAAAATTAACTATATTCTATGTTTCACTATTTTTGAAAAAAAAGTAACTTAAAAAGGCTCGTTTCTTTGCGGAATAAAATCCTGAATTTAAGAAAAAAAAACGAATCACTTACCGATGCTGAGTTGCAGATTAAATTCAATTATTATCGAGAAAAAATCCAAGCCACCGAAAAAAGATTTCGTGAAAAAGCGTTAGAGAAATATTTAGTTCCAGTTTTTGCTCTAATAAGAGAAGTTATTTATCGGAAGACTGGCCTGTTACTTTTCCCTACCCAAATATTTGGTGGAATAGTACTTCACTATGCTAATATTGCCCAAATGAATACTGGCGAAGGAAAAACTCTAACTGCCTTTTTACCTACTTGCCTTAACGCTCTATCTGGTCGAAGCGTTTTCATTATCACGGTTAATGAATATTTGTCACACCGCGATTGAAATCTAGCTAAACCAATTCTTGATTTTTTTCAAATTAGTTCAGGTGCCAACTCAACCAACATTTCTTCGGAAGAAAAACACGAATTATACAACTGCAGCGTTATATACACTACCAGCAGCGAGTTAGGATTTGATTATTTACGAAACAATTTGGTAACCGACATTCAGCAAAAAAACAAGCAAGATCTTTACTATGCAATTATTGATGAGGTAGACTCAATTTTAATCGATGAAGCCCAAAATCCTTTGATCATTTCCCAACGTTCTCGTCAAGGAGAAATTATTCATTCATCTGAATATCAATCAACTACACAGTTGGCAAATAATTTGCAAGAAAAAAAAGACTATATCGTTGATGAAAAAGAAAGAGACCTTTGATTAACCAAAAAAGGTCAGAAGAAAAGCGAACAATTCTACCAAATCGAAAATCTCTTTTCTTTCAATAACCACCGCTATAACTTTCTACTTCACAATGCACTAAAAGCAAAACACTTTTACAAAAAAGATGTTGAATACATAGTTGATCAAGAAAATCAACGAATAGTCCTAATCGATGCTTTGACGGGTCGTCTTGTTCCCAATCGAGTATACAGTTCAGGAATACAACAAGCTATCGAAAGCAAGGAAGGAATACAAGTAAGCACCAAAAGCAAAACTATTGCTACTATTACCTATCAAAATTTCTATCGTCTCTTTACTAAACTAGCTGGAATGACCGGCACAGCCGCGACTGAGGCAGAAGAATTCCGCCAGATCTACGGCATGGAAGTCATCGCAGTGCCGCCCTACCGAAAACTAATACGTAAAGACTGTGATGATTTAATTTTTTGAGATAAGAAAAGCAAATATCAAGCAATCATCAAACTGATTAAAAAGAACAATGAAAGCAGACGTCAGCCGATCCTAATTGGCTCACCAAGCGTTGAGATTTCTGAGCATCTATCATCTTTTCTAACCAAAGAAGGTATACCGCACTACAAACTAAATGCAGTTAACCACCAACAGGAAGCTGAAATAATTGCTCAGGCCGGACAATTAGGTACCATAACTATTTCAACCAACATGGCTGGGCGGGGAACCGACATTATTTTAAGTGAAGAAAGCAAAAAAGCCGGGGGGCTACTAGTAATCGGAGTAGAGAGAAACACTAGTCGCCGGATAGACAATCAGTTGAGAGGTCGGGCCGGACGACAAGGAGACCCAGGCAAAAGTCAATTCTACGTTTCATTAGAAGACGAACTAATAAAAAATTTCTCGGTAAAAGAAAGCATAGGAACATTCCTTACTTCCCAACAACTAAAAGAACTTTTTCACCGCCCCTTGAGCGGAAAAGTATTTAATTTCCTTGTTTCTGAACCGCAAGAAACTCTCCGCG